TCTACCTCGATCCGTACCTCATTATGTAAACCATATTACTATTTACCCAATTGTTCTTATCAGGAACCTAATAGCCACTCTAACTTCTCTTACTTTTACAGTGGACATCCAATTCATCATCAGTCATACTATAGACATATATTCCAAATCCGACCACATCTTACCACTTCAATGGTTTTAACCACCACAGGTTGCTCACCAAGTCAAACTACAACCGCCTTATAACTGATCTCCTTAATTCCAGTCTTGCTGCCCCAACCACATTCTCCACTGCCACTGTCACAGTCAGCATTTAAGTGCATGAGTCAGATCACATCATCCTCCAGTGACATCCATCAAAGAAAAATCCAAACTCCTTTTTAACTGTGGCCTACACATCTCTCCATCGTCTGATTCCTATGGATCTTTCCAAACTATCTTAATCCACTCCCCTCACCACTCATAACATCCTGCATTTGACAGCCATCTTTCTGTCACACCACCATTCCAAACTTTTTCTTGACTCAAGGCCACTATACTGTTCTTCCTTTTGCCAGGGATGCTGTTCTCCTAGATTTTCAGTCATTCCCTCCTCCTCAGTAATTATATACCCAAGGTGATAAATGATATAGAACCATGCTGGCTGGTTTAGGGAAACCTCAGCTTCTAACTATTGGTGCTTCTCAAGTCACTTTCTCCCAGTATCAATATCTTATTAGCTTAAGGGCCGCAAAGAAAGTAAAGTGTCTTAATCATTTATTGCATTTGTGTACATAGAGAAAATCTGCCCACCTCACCTCCTCAACTACAAAATGTAAGCTGCTTGAGACGAGAGGCCTTGTTTGTCTTATTCATTGCTATATTCCCCAGCATGACAAGTGTCTGCCCTAGATTTATTGTCTGTCTGACTATATGAATACATGTTAATACTTTAGAATTCAGTTCAGCTATATATAGATTAAATTAGCTTTATATTCTAATGAAAGCATCTTGCCCCACTTAAAAATCTGTTTCTACGAGAAACTGCATTTCATGGTCCAAACAATATTCAAATAAAATTTTTAAATATAACTGATCTGTATGTGAAAGTTTACATATATAGTATTTAGAAAGTGTGTTAAAAAATACACATCTTCACTGAAGGCTAGTGTCTAGTGGCCAAAATAATCCACGGAGCCATGAATACATCTGAAACAAAAATTTTAGTGGTGCCTTCTGCAACCAACCAAGTGGATAAATGTATTTTAGATTGCCTTGTGGGTATGAAAATCTAGTACACACAGACTATAGTTTCTATGCCATCTAGTCCAACATGCCAAGCAGAATCCTATACACACTAATTATGGGCCTGTCATTAATCCTTTCATTAATGATTTGGCTCATGCAATTTAATTATGCAAATTAAAGCATGCAATGTAGTTCTGCTAATGGTATTAAGATGAGTAGGTTCACTAGCACCTTAGAGCAGAAACTCAGAATTCAAAATGCCATGTTTTATTCACAGAACCTAAAACTATAGCAAAAGTATTGTAGTAAAGATATTTTCTCAGAGAATCATAAACAGAATAAATCTTCTAAAGAAAGACATCCCTAGATTCCATAAGACTTTTCCTGGCACACAATGATTTTCACTAACACACTTTTCCACCACAAATAGAATCAATCAATTATGATCTTTTATGTCTTATGTCATACTTATCTGCCATGTTAAAAACCTAAGGTGTGGTGCTATATTCTCTCTCCATTTCCCTAACAGTATCAAAAAATAGGAATTTGATCCAAGAGTCTTAAGTACCAAACACCAAATAAAGTCACCCTGAAAGAAAATTCTTTCACAATTATCTGAAATGAGAATGGAAAAAAAAAAAAAAAATATATATATATATATATATATATATATATATTACTAATTCAAGGGGTTCTGTCTTGCTACAAAATCTCTTTGTAAAAAAGTAAATAAGTGCCTTTATGCCACATGCAACCTAGGCATTTAGCAGTCTTTCCTAAAAGGTTCCAGTTTATTTCACTTGGCAGGTAGACAACCGTCTTAAAGAATCATATCCTCAGGAAACAGACCTATCTTGTTTATTGGTTCTATCTGATCTTCAAAAAGCTTCATGAATTCCTTTTGGGTTGAATGAGTTATATGCTCCTTTACCTAAAATCTGTACTTAAATGCTTTTAATTAAGAAAGGGCTTTTGCTGTTAATTTCTAACAGAAATTCTAGACAGTCATCTCTAACAGTTCTTATAACAATTCAAAAGCACATTTTTTCTTCTCTTTCCACAAGCTCCACCCACTTACAAGCTCAGGCACTTATTAACTCATCTGTATAGTCAACTAATGTATTTTAAATATATAACACAGACACAAATATAAAGGATGGCTTAAAATGTGAAATAATATAAACCATGCGACCTATAGGAGATGAGGCAATACATCGGTAGAAAAATAATGAGAATCTGAACTAAGGCAGTTTTAGCAAGAAGGGAAGGGAGACAGAAAGGGGAGGGCACAGTGGCTCATGCCTATAATCCCAGCACTTTGGGAGGCCGAGGCAGGTGGATCACAAGGTTTCACCATTGGCCAGGGAGGGGTTTCTGTGGAAGTTAGAGATGAACGTTTCAAGAATGGAGTAGTCAATTCTATTTGGGAAAAAAGAGGGAGAGGGAGAGATTACGAGGTGAAGAGTGAAGAGAGGCCACTTGATCTTGATCTAGCCCATGTTGGGATAGTTTAAGTGAAAATTTGATGAGGAGAGAGTAAAAGAGGTATCATGAGGGTAAAGCAGTGTCAACATAGAATTTCTGAGGATGAGGGAGACAGGAAACTTTTCTTATGAAAATAAAAGCATTTCTACAAAAGAGAAAGATTTAAAAGGAAATATACATGTGTGGTTTCTAGGAGGAATCTCTCTTACATAATAATATCTAGTCATTAGTGACTATTTAAGGGAAAAGAATTAGCTATGTTTGAGATACCTTCCTACCCTATACATTTCTCTCTGCCCTGTACTCAAGGCAACTACACTGAAAGGAACCACATGTTCCCAACTTGACTTAAAATATCCAATCCCATGGAAATGTCCTTACCTGCCCAGTTATTATGCCCTTTGAAGAGTAGTTTGGTCAGGCGTGGTGGCTCACACCTGTAATCCAAGCACTTTGGAGGCCAAGGCGGGTGGATCACCTGAGGTCGGGAGTTCCAGACCAGCCTGACCAACATGGTGAAACCTCGTCTTTAAAAAAAAAGAAAAAAAAATGAAGAGTAGTTTGAACTAAGAAACACAGAAAATATACGCAGGGAGAGTGGTACTTGGAAGTCTACGTCCAGTCAGAATTAGTGAGGTCATTTCCCCATGCGTACAATGATGAATAAACAGAGAAACTTGGTCTTCGGAGAGAGGCAGAAGCTCAGAGAAAAGACATGGTAAAAAGAATATGTGGCCTGAGAGAGAGAAAGAGAAATGGAGAAAATCGCTTCACGCTCACAACTCACCATCCTGTTTCCAGTGCCAGCTCCCACAAGGCCAAGCTACACTTCACATTTATGACATGCCCATAATCCCTTTAATAAACCACTTATGTGTAAAAAGTGAATGCATTTCTTTTCTTACAACTCAACAATTTTGACTATAAAATGCAGTTTCTTTTCTGACTCTTTCAGGACATCTGGAAAACTTCCAATATAAAGCTATGCAAATAAATTGTAAATGTGTAGTCACAAAGCTATAAACCTTAATCACGAGCAGGAGGGGTGGCATGGCAACCACAATGAACTTTACTTATGGAGCGCAATAAGCTTGTTGCAGCATTTTTTTCCATTTGTAAAGAGGTCAATCACTTAGACTTCCTGAATACTTCTTCACGTGATTCTGCTGTATGCTTCACAGCACAAATAAGTCTCATACTTCAGTCAATGAACAAGGCAGCAGTGAATTGTGATTTTTACCACCATACATATCCAGGCTCCCAGATTTTCCAAATCTATTTCTTAGCTTGTAATCCCCCTTTCTGTCTCATCTCTTTTCTGAATTATTACACTCCCCCTCTCCAAACTTCATGGGAAATCATCTATTCTAGTTTGACAGCCTGTAACAATGAAAAAGTAAAAAAAATCTCACCCTCCTACATTTCTGGGCATTGTTAGCCAGCCAGCCTTCTAACCCTGGCACAGCTGCTAATTCTACATTTGTGCACCCAGATTTCACTTGGCACCTCAGTCATCCCCTTTCAGAATGCTGTTTTCACCCTCATGCAGCCCTTCCTACTGGGGATGGCCTACTTCCAACTTCACACATCAATAAACAAACGGATGGATTAGCACAATGTTTTGCTGGAGTATCTCAATCTCATTCCTCCCTTCCCATCTGCACCTCTTTCTCCATCTAGCTCTGATGCCCAACTACTCCTGGACTCAGACAGTTCCCCAGGTAACAGTTGTTGCCTAGTGACTGGAGCTCTTGAGAAAAGAGGAATAAGTTGAAGGAGGGACCCAAAAAAGAAAACACAACTATAAGTGACTTAAGGACAGAGATTAAGTCTATCTTGCCCATATTATGCCCTCTGAAACTAGCACAGTGCCTGGCATATACAGGTATTTAGGAAATACTGGTAAACAAATGAACTACAAAAAAAAAACAGAACAACAAATCACTCTACCTACACCCAACTACTTCCCATTCTCTCCCAAGTTAAACCTTGCAAAAAGACCCAGGCTCGTTATTTCATCTTGCGTAACCTAATCCAATTTCAAGTATCACAGGAAACTGTAATCCTCATTTATTTAAAATATAAAAATTAAAAATTAAAAAGATTAGCCTATTTTACTTACTAAAGGTAACTTTCCTTTATATAGTCTCCTCCAAAATGTTTTTCTGGGGATCTTTTAAAATGTTACTTATTTTCTATGACAATCACGTTACATGAAAAATAATAGATATATAACTTTAATAATAATAAATCAGCATACATATTAATCATAAACCATACGTTATAAAAACATAAAAATATGAACTTACATGTTTGGATAAGTTAGGGCTCTTTGAATCAACATCATACCTAAAAGATTGAAATATAAAACTCAAATTATTTCCACAAAATACAGCTAGAGACAAACACCAGTATTTTCCAAAACACATAAATTATATAAAATCATAAATTATGAAATCCAAAATAACACCAATAGGAAGAAAAACTTAGCAAATTTAAAAGTTTCACAGAATCTGTGGCTTACTGCCAATGGTAGAATTGACAATCCTTGCATTCTCTCATTTCTAAAGACCTAACAAGTCTTAGTATTTTCTCATTAATCAATTCTGCTGTTCGGTAAGTTTAAACTTTCTCTTTTCTGTGTATCAGTATCCTAGTACTGTTCAACCTACTTCAAAATTCCTTAAAAACTGAAAAGCCCTCTTCTCTAGACGTCATTTAAAAGGGCAACACCAGGGATCCTTGAGGTAATAGAAATGTTCTATATGTTGCCAGGATAAATGTCAATATCCTATTTGTGATATTGCCAGATATTTCTACCGAGGGAACCTAGGTAAAGGATACACATGTCTCTCTGTATAAGTTCTGTATTATTTTTTACAACTGCCTGTGTATGAATGTATATTTATCTCAAAATAAATTATTTTACTTTAAAAAATCAAATTAATTAACAAACGGATCCTGGTAAACCGGCTGTCCTTAGCATACATTTTAATTCTTAATATCTTAAATGCTATTGTTAAATTGGCTGGAGTAATGAGACATTATTTTTCCCTAATCAGAGGACTTAAAACATACATTTTATGGAAACAGAAACATATTTCATGAGACTACCATATGTTCTGGTTTTAGCCAGTTGGTACTGGAAATTAATCAGTTCTTGGAGAGATTCTACAATAAGATCATTCATCATCACTTTATTCCCTGGCACTACAGAGTTTGTAGAAGTAGAGAGGGCACCGATAGTCAAAATTACCTTCCATTTGCCAAATTCTTGTATAAGAAAATATTTGTACTGACTACAGACCGTCTCCCAAATCATATTCATTTCACACTTCCTGTGAATAGCTTCCTACCAAAAATTAACTGCCATTTTAAAGGTTAATTAAAGTCTCCTCTCTCATATAACAAGAATGTTTTCACAATTAAAGAAAGCATAAAAGTTCACTGAGTATATGGATACTGGGGAGAAGGGCATTCACTTACTAGCAAAGAATGTATACCATAAACTAGCTTTAAAATTGGAATGGCTCTAGGCAGTAATCATCCAAGGATACTAAGGCTTTGAAGTAAAAGGAAAAGGACTTTACTTTCTTTTTTTTTTTGAGATGGAGTTTTGCTCTTGTTGCCCAACCTGGAGTGCAATGGCAAGATCTTGGCTTACCACAACCTCCCAGGTTTAAGCAATTCTCCTGCCTCAGCCTCCTGAGTAGCTGGAATTACAGACATGTGCTACCACGCATGGCTAATTTTGTATTTTAAGCCGAGACTGGGTTTCTCCATGTTAGTCAGGCTGGTCTCCAACTCCTGACCTCAGGTGATCTGCTTGCCTTGGCCGCCCAAAGTACTAGGATTACAGACGTGAGCCACCATTCCCAGCCAGAACAAAGACTTCTCTAATGAATAGATAAGACAGATAGCACCTGAACCCATGGATCAATCTTAGCATCACTCCAAGTGATGGGATGTGAGAGATAACACACAGAGCCACTCTACAGAGATGGAATTTCTTGCCTCACCTTCTCTTTTAAAAAATATTCTGATTCTCATCAACAGATAACTGGTATTAAGAAGGGGAAGGAGACTATTATAGAATACAGGAGGCACAGGACAAAAATAGAATGTGTGACTCTGGTTTGGAGCCTGACTTAAACAAACTAATTGTAAGACATTTTTAAGACTATCAGAGAAACTTTCAACTGGTCTGAAAGCTAGCTGCCATTAAGTACTTACTTGGCCTAAGGTTGGAGAATAGCAAACAGGAGGATCATATATAAGCATCCTTATCCGTGAGAGCTTTATTTTGAAGTATTGGTAGGTGAAATTATAATATCTGTAGGGGACCAGGCCCAGTGGCTCACACCTATAATACAGCACTTTGGGAGGCCAAGAAGGGTGGATCATGAGGTCAGGAGTTCAAGACCAGCCTGACCAACATGGTGAAACCCCATCTCCACTAAAAACACAAAGTTGGGTGTGGTGGTGTGCACCTGTAATCCCAGCTACTCTGGCCGCTGAGGCAGGAGAATTGCATGAATTTAGGAGGCGGAGGTTGCAGTGAGCCAAGAACACACCACTGCACTCCAGTGTGGGTGACAGAGCGAGACTCAGTCTCAAAATAAATAAACAAATAAATAGTCTGAAGGGGATAAATGAACCAAATTGGCAATATGCATATGCTACTTTTGAATATGCTTAAAAATGTCCATGATAAAGTTAAAATATTTAGAGCTTTTGCTGTCTTCAACAAAATAGTCTCTCCTCTAGAAGTCCTGTGGCCTCCTTTCCATAAAGAGAAGCAGAAAGATCAAGGATTAAATGCAGAGAATATAACTTCTTATTTTTTCAATAAGGAGGAACTTATTTTTTCAAAAAGGAGGAAGTTAATTGTCTCTCTCTTCCAAAAGCACATACTCATTATGACCTGTTTACCTATGTAAATGAATTTATTTTCATAATTTTATAATTAAATTTTACAACAGCAAAAATAAAGGGGGGGTGCATGTTGCAAAAATCTGCATCAGAAGAATTACAAGTTACTCTTCTTCTCATCAAGGCATTCTGAGCACTTTCAAAAGCTACAGCCTGGAACTGTAAAACAGAAAATTGCCAACATCTACTGTAGAACTACAGTTGCTAGTACAAAAAAAAAAAAAAAAAGTATTTTATTCAAGAAATGTTTCTTATGTAAGAAAATTTTTTTAAAGGTAAGATTGAAATTAGCAACTTAATGTCAGAGATTAAACATAGCTGTGCTAACTCCTCAAAAATCAACTCTGGAAACTATCTTCTAAAAAGAACTAAGTATGGACTGGGGAGAAGGGACATCAAATGTTCAATTAAAAAGTAAAAGGAACATATTGTCATCACAAAAAGCTTAAGTATCTTCAAATACAATCCTCTTTCACTGTATTTTACAAAGCTTTTTTTAATGCCAGTATCTCGTAGGTAATAGACATCACACCCCTGAATACAATATGTTAGATTATAAAGCATTAGAAATTACCATTTTTCTTTTCTTTTTCTTTTTTTGGATAGAGTCTCACTCTGTTGCCCAGGCTGGAGCGCACTGGTGCGACCTCGGCTCACTGCAGGCTCACTGAAACCTCCACCTCCCAGGTTCAAGCAATTCTCCTGCCTCAGCCTCCAGTGTAGCTGGGATCACATAGGTACCAGTCACCACACCCGGCTAATTTTTGCATTTTTAGTAGAGATGGGGTTTCACCATGTTAACCAGGCTGGTTTTTTTGAATTACTGATATCAAGTAATCCGACCCCCTCAGCCTCCCAAAGTGCTGGGATTACATGCGTGAGCTACCATGCCTGGCCTAAAATTACCATCTTTCTTTTAAAACAATTTTTCTTCTAACTTTTCTAAACATATCAAGACTTCTCTAGTCCTCACTCTCACAGGTCATAACATAAACACTATATCCTAACTGGTTACAATGTAAACATGTAGCTGTGTATCTGTTAGTGAGTTCCACACTTTATTTAAGGAAGAGAGAATATATGAGCATATAGGAAGCTTGGTAGTCTCTCCTAACAGGATGCATCCACTGTGCCTGAAGTTAGTAACAAATTTTGTAAACAACTTCATCCTGCCATTGAAACCTTATTACTACAGTAATAAATTGGCAGTAGCTGGCTTGGGTATACCTTAAGGATTATGTTTTTGATTCAAGAGTAACAGATGTTGATGGGGATTTGTCTTGTATTTCTGGAATTCCAACTAAGGCCCAAAGAGGAAAAAAAAAATGTGATCATGCTTAGCTCAGAGCTACTGAGTCAATCACATAAGTCACATACTTTCTCCCCAAAGCTCAGGGACCAGTCCACAGCAGGTGATGAACACGTTATTCGTAAGTGAGGACTTTTCCCTCTCTGTTGGGGGGCAGAAGGGAGGTTCTTCCCACTCCCCAAAGCCAAGTAAAGTATGGCTCCAAAATCTGGGATGCCGGCAAGGAGAGCACAGCATCTGGCTCATCGCTAAGATACAGAGTCCTGCTGCAAGTCCACCCGGGGGCAGTCGAGGGAAGGAAAACTCACTGGGAAGTTCTAGAAAGTGCTTTCCGCGAGATGAAAAACGTAGACCTATGTCCTTTTTAGCTCTTTCTTCATCATGACAAGACCAGCAGGTGCTTAAAATGTGTCCCCTGAGGCTGACCCCACACAGAGTCTAGGTTTTGGGGACAGTAGGAGACCCACGTCTCTGCCTCCCAACACTGTCTACCCTTTCGCATTCCCACCTCTCTTCGGTCCTGCAAGGGGCTGGGCAGTAGGTCCAGCTGAAGAGAGAGGAAGTGAAAAGTCTTAAATGAAGCTTGAGATTAAAGTTTTAAAATAAAAAGTCTTTAACAATTAACAGAGCAAGATGCTTCTAAGAATTTAAAGTGACTGAAAAGGCATGAAATTAGACTTTGACATGGTTAAGGGAGCCCTTGACCAATGGGAAAAACCAGAGTTGACATGGTGTTGGGACAACAACTAGTAGAAGAAAAAATAAAAAACACTTATTTTCCCTCAAAGTGCTGAGATTCATCTAAAATATTTTACAATAACATTCATTATATGTTTCTTAATTATTACCATTTTATTTGTCAAGAAAGAAAATAATTCTCTGGGTAAATCATATCTAGACTCAGGAGTCCCTTTTCACTATTCTGGTCTGAATGGAAAAAAACAAATGAGAAGTGTAATTTCTAAATTCTCCTATATCTGGCACACACTATGAAGTGATAAAGCTACACACACTTCCTGCTCAAACACATTTTGGTACAGCTACTCTACCAATAATAAAGTTTTCAGTCATGACAACAAAGTGAATTTATTAAGAACATGTATTATCATCAGTGTGATAATTATAATAAAAATAAATGTCAAAGTTTACGACTTTCTCTGTGATATATAAACAGCCTGATGACAGAAACCATGTCTCTTGAATGAATAAGTACATACTGGATCAAAAAGGCAAGGGAATTTTAGGATTCATAGCTGATAAACTAATCTGGAAAATATATCTCAGACATATCATACTAACAATAATAAAAATTAACATGGGTTAACTATTATATTACTTACAAGAATATGGGTCAGTGGTAGCAGAAATACATTGTCTCTATCTCTTACTTTCTCATTGTTATAATTATTTAAGCACTGATTTTATTTTTAAGTTTATAAAAGCCATTTCTAAAATCTCTTATAATATACAGTTTAGGTAAAATACGTTCAAAGTTTCTTTTTTAACTTTTTTAGAATTTTATAAAATTCATAGGCTTCAGTAAATCCAAAACAATTCTGAAAACCATTTACATCCACTTTTGGTCAAGTTACACCAGCGCATCTTTCAGCATGCCATTCCCCGAAGGAACGACAGTGAAAACTGATCACACAAAATGGGGCCATTTTTGTCATACTCAACTAAAACACAGTCAGGGCTGAAAGGGCAGCAGAGCCATGGGGAAAAATCACTCAGGAGCCACCAACACCTCACAAGCGCAATCCAAAACCTCAAGGACCTGCTGTGATTTTGAGGTAAGTGTAACTTAGTAATTGCCACCCCTTACCAATCAGAAATCACCAGCTTCTGTAAGACAAAACCAGCACCAGCAAACTTTCCTTCAAAACAACCTGTGTAACTTCTCTCCTTTCCCAATGAAACTCTAGCCTTTCCTTTTGTTCTCTAAACACGCCAGAATCCATTCTGGTATGTGTGTGTACGTGTCTACACTGCAATTCTAATTATTGTGTATTATTACCAAATAAACCCTTTTCTTAGAGATTAATCTCTGTATATATTTACTTAAGGTTGATATAGCCAATACGTCAGAATATTTGCAGTAGTTCTCTGGGTGGCAGAGGTTGGGACTACTGGTAATTTGTATTGCCTACTTTATCCCTTATTTTCCCATTTTTTAATTTTTTTTACCATGAATTTGTTTCTTTTACTAGGACTAACACATTGCTAAGATAAATTTTAAAAACCAATCACAGGTATAATACAAACAACTAGTGAGCTATTACACTACTTCCACATATATTTATGTAGATATCCTAAGAAATCACAATAAAAATAAAAATAATAGTAATAAGCCTGTTTTTCAGTTTAAAGGTTATATGTGAGTATTCTAAAAAAATGGAAAATTAAAAGGAATTAAAGTGATAGCAAAGATGCTACATGAACAAAGAGGATAGGCTTGTTACTCTTGTTGATAACCTTCTGCAGGTAACCCTTTCTAGGCCTAATTGAATTTTTCAGCAATCACACAAAATGGAGATTTTCTTTGAATTGAATTTCTGAAATTAACCAAATACATGCAAAAGGTAAAACGATACTTATTTAATTCCATTTTGCAATATGCTTTCACATTTCAAACATTACACTGTTTCTGTAAAAATTGCTTCAACTTCAATTAGGAAGTTGAGGAAGTCAAAATACATTCATTTACTTAATATTAATTTATTACTTTATATTTTCCTGTCACACTGAAATAAATGTTCCTGGAACAGACAAGTTATGAGTATCAGGTAATGAATGAAGAGCAGGACATGGATCTAAAAATCAGAGCTAAATAACTGACAAGGAGCTCAGAGAAGGAGCTCAGGGGAGTAACAAAGTTTATAGAATCTCCAATGTTGAAATCAAAATAAAATATAGAGATGAATCTCCAAATTAATTATTTCATTTGGGAATTACAGAATTGCAATTCAGGGCATATACACAGACCACGGTGGTCTTCATTCAATATGTACAAAAAGCAAAGAGAAGTTTGTGAGACTTATTAGAAAGAGAAATGCTATATATTGTTTTGAAAGAAAACTCATTGGCACTAGAGAAACATTTGGGAGCTCCCAAAAGAGGCGATTGGTGAGTGATGGTGGTAGATAAAACTAGCCTTAGAGTCAAGACAGGTCATAATTGGTCTTTAGGATTACAGCAGACAGTTTCAGCAACTGCCCTTGTAGAAAATTCAATTCATGGAGCAGGTGCCATTATTGCTTTCCCCCCCTGGCCTCTTGACTCTGATTTGGTTGGGTATGACACAAATGACCCAATTCATATAATCAACTTTCACACCAAGTTGATTTCAAAAATTTAGAACCAGAGAGTGAGCAGTCATGTCCACATCCTATAATCTTAAAAATTAACTCCAAGTAATTTGTCCTCTGAAAATGCAAAGTATATATAAATATATATTACAAAAAGATTTGCAACCAACGAAACTCACTGCAGCATATATGTAGTTGGAAAAATGGAACAAGCCAAATGCCCATCAGTAAGTGTTTGGTTAAATAAATGACAGTTCTTTTGAACAAAAGAAATTATATAATCTTTAAAATGAATGTGGTATATGTATAGTTAGTGGCATAAAAGGATATCTGCAAAATATAAGGTGAAGGAAAACATATTTATTGCAATTCCTGTATGCATACATGTATGCTTAAAGAAAAAAATATTTCCCAGCATATACATTGAATCATTTGCAGATTTGGGAGCGGGGTGGGCTTTTTTTGTATTAGGACTACAGGAAACTTTCATTTTAAATATCTGTATCAGTTAAAGTTTGTAATAAATATTTATTACTTTTAACAGCGAAAACAATGCAGATGAATGAGAAAGGAAGAAAAAGAAAAAAACAAAGAGAGGGAACAAGGAATCATAGATGAAATAGAGGCTGGTTTTACTATAAAGATAAGTCTGGGATTAAGGAGAAAAAATCAATAGTCCCATGCTGGTGTAAAAGAAAATTCTTAAGCAATTGCTAAGAAGGCCCAGAATAAAGGGAGAATTCAACCACATCGTACATGATTTATATCTGTTTTTGAATGGCAACACCATGTGCAGCCTCTTACAATAAACATAATCAGGAAGTCATTACATTCCATTTCAGTTTCTCTTCTTATGAGCTTCACTTTTATTATTTGGAAAGGAATTTCTAAAAAATAAAAACCAAATATGGATGTAATACATTTTGTTTGATAAATATGACAAATAGTACTCCTGAAGAAAGAAGCTGGGACGTTTTTTAAACACAAACACCTGCAGGTTATTTTACTGTGTATATTTAAGAGGAAAATGAGAATGATCATTCAAAGTAATGAGCTCTTAGTTTTTACATTATAAAGCAAATTATGACTTTTTACAATCAGATATTGATAGCTTTTGTTATCAAAAAGTATGATAAACTATAAAAGTATGGCACCTCATGATTTTTTCAGCTATTTAAAATAAGACATTTATCTTTTTAGTGTTCATAAATGTCCCTTAATTATTTTAACATTTTAAGCATAGTTTACCCACCTCGCCAAAACAGATTTCCTTTTAACCATATCCAGATACTTTAACAACCACTGCAGTTCACTTCTGTGAAACAAAATCTCTACAATAATATAAACAGACTGACTCTAGGTTCTCCGTGGCCAGGAAGTTGGATTTGACAATAATGTTTTAATATGCCAGATTTAGTATCAAAGTAACAAGAATACTTAAAATATTTAACATGCTGACTCCATTATCCTGGCCCTTGCAAAAATACAAGTCTACCAAAGGATGAAAGGAAGCCACAGTTAGGCAGAGATCCATGTGCTATGCTAAGAAGCTGCTGAGACAAACTAAAAGATCTGAGAGACATCAGCCATGGGAGTAGATGTGATAACTTTGGAGTATACGTAGAACTTGTAGGAAATCCACTGAAGCATGGGGCGGTTGGAAAGAACGCCCGCATACACCGTCCTGCATGGCTAAACTGCTCAATTATTCATTCAACATTTATTCAGACCTACAAAATGCAAAGCAGGGGGCTTGCTTGGGCCATACTCTGAACAGAATTATCTGGTTTCCTGCCAATATAACCTAGTACTCAGTGCAACCATAGTACATTAGTTATATTACATTAGTAATATTTTCTTTAAAAATCAAATTTTTCTAAATGCACATTTTAGTAGAACTTACAAGTCAAAACGAAGATTTTCTCTTTCTTCAAAAAAGTAGTCCAGAATAAACTTTCTTACAAAATCAGGGTTTAAAGTATTATCAATTACTTCAGTTCTTCCAAACTGTGGAAAGAGAGATAATTTAAAATTAAACTCTGTATGGCTTCTTATTAAAAGTACAGTACATAACACCACACAATTCCTTTAAAAAATAAGCAATAAATGTTCAAGTAATAGAAATGTGTTTAGAGATCAAATCAGCTTTCTTATTCATTCAGGGAAATCAGAAAATAAGCCCTGAGTTCATTCAAAAATCAGCTTCTCCCCAAAATTCATATGACAAACAATAATGCTTCTCCCTGTCCTCTCCCTACTTGACAGTTAGATCCTCTTTTAATGAAAAGAAGCGATTTTACCTAAAATTTAAACATATTATAAATTATTTTCCTAATCTTGTAATAAGAAGGCCAGGCAATACATATTCTTATAATTGAAGAGATTATTCGTAACCCTCTTCCTCCTTTTCTACAAAACAGCCCTATATACAATACAGTTTATTAGCCATGTTTTGGGAAGAATGCTCTGAAAATCTCCTACACACATATGTCACAACAATCCATTGTTTCTGATTAATCATGTTTTAATTCTTACTATATCTAGACAGCTAAAATAAGACCCATTATTCTTGCATGTTTTCAAGCAATGTGCTGCACTTTTGCTTAGAATAACTAAGTTTCTCCATCTTAGGTCAAATGGAAAACAGGAAAAAAATATTCCAGTTCTAGTCTTCCCTCCTTTCAATGTGAAAGAAGGCCATTAGGCACTTCTCCCAAAGACAGAGCACAAATATTAACTTTACATCTCTTTTCTGTCTTTGGCTTGCATTCTTCCCTTCCAACTGCCATGGAATTCTAATGAGAGAATTTTAACCTTAGTTCTGAGCAATATTAGGCAATGAAGCATGCTGTCTTATCAAAGAACCAACTTCTATTAAAGTTCAATGAAATATTATCTTTTTAATAGGAGAATGGAAGAACTGTGTTAATCCATTAAAATGTGAAGCTTTCTTAAATTGTAATAATAAAACGATAGTACAAAATATTGATGACACAGGATTGATGACACAGGATTTACTAAGGCTACTGTCAACTGATCACCCCTAAAAAGAACAAATTTTCAGAGGTCTATGCCATTGGACAATGTTTTATATCATAGGCCAATTATCATATAGATAAATTATAAGCCAGGTCACTGGGTTATGATAACCTATATTATATTAAAATATAATATAGAATTATTATATATTAAAATATGCTATATATTCAAATATATTTAATATATATTTAATATATTAAAATATAATCTAGGAGACACCCTCCTCCTACTTCAACATTTCAATAACATTGAGATTTACTTTAAACAATAATATTAATTACAGCCACCAATTATTATTTACCAATTATTATTTACTTTGTTCCAAGCACTTTTCACATACTTTAAATATTTACTATAATTCTGTGGGGTAGAACTAACCCCATCTTAGAGATAAGAAAATTGAGGCAAAGAGTTTCAACCTAAGTCACTGTGGCTACAAAACCTGCATTCTTTCTAAGACTCTCCTCTATTTAAGCACAAAACACAGGCCCTGGAGAAGATCCAACAATTAGCCTATCCATTTTAATTTTCTAATTTGAAGGAAGTGGGAATAAGGAAATATACCCAAATTTCCAGGACTGGCAGTGCTCATATACTTCAAGAGAACTGTACGGAGGTCAGCAGCTTAAAATATAAATCAGAGGGACCCAGCACCCTCCCATTCTTCCTACTGCTGGGAGGAAAGATGGGTTCCAGACCAGAACAGAAAGCACCAAAGTAGTCAATGCACACACTCTAAAAAGCAGCTCAGCCAGCACCCATATTCCCAAGTATTTGAATTTTTAACCCAAACTCACACTCAGAGAGAAATTTTAAAAACGAAGTAAAATTTCCCAGGGTGAGCCCCATTGAGGTGCAGCCAGAAAATCCCCAGAGTCTATGAGCCCTTAAAACATACACACACCTGTTTTTCATAGAATACTGGCTCCTCAGCAGTAGGAGTGGTTGAGTATACTCTGCTATCTCTAGTGAAGATAAATTTGTCGCCATTTAAAACCTGGTTTTAGAAAATCACCTATAAATTGTGACCATGTCTATCATGTCTTCTAACACACAGCCCTGGAACTGTTGTTGCTGATATCACCAGTGACCTTCATATTGCTAAATACAGTGGTCGCTTCTGGCCCTCATTGTGCCAGACCTCTCAGCAGCATGTGACACAGCTGTCTACTCCTTCTTTTTGGAAGCCGTCTTTCCTGGCTTTTGACACCACATTCCTCTGTGTTTCTCTTGTTCTGAGACTCTCAAGCATTTAACATCTCATTGGCAGAGCTCAGTTCCAGGCACTCTTGTTCTCTCTACAATCACTTTTTTCAAGGTTCCTGCTATAGTTGTAATGTACCCCTTCCAAAATTCAGGTGTTACCAATGTGACAGTATTAAGAGGTAGAGCATTTAAGAAATGATTAGGCCATGAGGGCACCTTTCTCATGAATGGAATGAAGGTCCTTATGAAAGAGGTTTCATATGGCATTTGGCCATCCTTTGCCCTTCTGCTTTCCACCATTCCACCATGTGAGGAAACAGCAAAAATGCCCTCACCAGATGCCAGTGCCTTGATCTTGGGCTTCCCAGACTTCAGAACTGTGAGAAAATAAATTTCTCTTCTTTTTAAATTACCTGGTCTCGGGCACTGCATTATAGCAGCACAAAACAGACCAGGATAATTTCTTTGGCTTTAAATCCCATCTACATGATAACTTCCAAAGGTATGTCATCAGCCCCCAGACTCACTTCTAAGTACAGATACATGTATACAACTGCTTTCTTAACTTAAATACAGCCCTCAAAAGTATCATCCAAACAAACTAATTATTTTATATCGCAAACATCACCCGAATACTGGTGCCTACCAGGTCTACTTCTTGTCAATAAATGCTACCACTATTCACTTGATTTATCAGGCCATAAATGAAAGTCATCAATCTCAAGTCTTCCTTTTTAATCTGCCAACTCCTACTCATTACTACCTTACAAGTTATCGATTCTAACTCCAAAACATGCCTCACAGCTGTTTACTTCTCTCCATAGCTCCTATCATCAGCCTAATTCAAGCTTTTCGTTCCTCTCATGGTCTACCCCAATGGCCTCCCAACTTACATCTCTGCTTCTTGTCTTGTTCTCCTTCCAATTCATCTTCTAAATGATATCCGGAGTGATCTTCTGAATAATATAAACATGGCCATGTCATTTCACCAGCCTAAAAAATTTTAATGGCTTCCCATTGTACTTATAATAAAATCTCTTTTCTTTGGTCAACAAGATCTGGCTCCTTTCTTCCTCTCTAACCGCATCACAGGTAATATCCCTCCTTTCTCTCTGCTCCAGCCTCCCGGCCTTCTTGTGGGCCCTTTACACACCAAACCCTTTCCCACCTCATGGCCTTTGCACCTGCAATTTCCTCTCACCAAAATATTCTTAACCCCATTCTCAAATGGCTTTTTCTCATCCATTAAGCCTCTATTTAAATGTCAGCACTCCAGCTCTAACCATCAATCTGAAAGTGATGTTTTGTTTCGTTTTTCTGAGAAAGAGTCTTGCTTTGTCACCCAGGCTGGAGTGCAGTGGCATGATCCTGGCTGACTGCAACCTCTGCCTCCCAGGTTCAAGCGATTCTCCTGCCTCAGCCTCCTGAGTAGCTGGGATTACAGGCATGCATGCCACCATGCCTGGCTAATTTTTGTATTTTTAGTAGAGACAGCGTTTTACCATGTTGGTTAGGCTGGTCATCAACTCCTCATCTGCATACCTCAGCCTCCCAAAGTTCTGAGATTACAGGTGTGAGGCACTGAGCCCAGCCAGGTCCTCTATTCTTAAAGTTAGTCTCTCTAACAGCACCTGTCTTTCCCCTTAATAAAACTTATATTTTGGAACTGTACATTTAAGTGTTTAGGTTTCCCCCACTAGACAGTAAGCTTCATGAAGGAACAGGACGCAAATGTTTCATTTACACCTGAATAAAATTGAACAAATGGTTAAATAAGCGAGATCTGAGATACATTGTTCAGAAAAAAAAAAGGAATTTTGGTAAATGCATAATACCAATTTGATTAAAACATAAGCATATATATGCGTACACACACACACACACACACACACACACACACACAGATAAAAATAGAATATGGTGTACCAGAATGTAACAATTATTTAATTTTTTTAAAATGTGTTATACATTTCTGGGTTTTCCCAATTACTTGCAATGAGTACAATGTACTTTTAAAATCAGAAACAAACTTTCAGCCAATGTTCCTGTTTTTAATTCATTTTATTATAAAAAGTGAAAACTAGAAATAGTAAGAAATCTACAAATACGTTATTGCTAGTTCAGCTCATGAGAAATACGTTGGTTATTTCCCAGAGACTGGAATATACTACCTATCAACCAGGTGATTATTATTTTTGACTTGAAATACAATTTATATCTTAGCTAATATCTTACACTACACAATAATTTCTAATTCTTTGGAAAATGTGAAGTTGTATATCATTCTATGCCCAGCAGAGAGGTATAAAATTTTGAGGAAAGACAATTATTAACAATATTTGTTGATGTTATATACCCAGAAACAGCTGCATTTTAAAAGAATTTTAACTTGCGTCCTAAAAAGTTGTGTTCTGAATATCAGTAATACTAGATTATCAAAAGTACCTATGAACCTAATTACAATAGCCTCTGGCACAGTGTACGTATACAAATATGTGGACAGCCAAGCACTTTAACATAATGATACTGTATTAAGTTTTCATAGTCTTATAATTAAAAAACTATTCTTTAATTCACCAAATATAAAAATTTCAGTTATTTGAAAAAAAAAAGTATGTTAACTTAAATTTGTTAAAACCATAAAACACTTTTCCTTTTAAAACTCCAAGCAAAAAAAGAAAAACAATTCACAATCAAGTCTTTCAAAGTTTTCCTTTGTCTTATGCTTGAGCTAATTGGATAAATAGCTACTTTTCCAATTT